CAAAGAAAAGAAAAGAAAAGAAAAGAAAAGAAAAGAAAAGAAAAGAAAAAAAAAAGACAAAATGTCCTAGAATGGATCTCAACTTTCCATGCCTTCCTTTACATGGCCCCTCACAGCTAATCAGTTACTCAGTTTTACAGATCCGATCATCCAAGTAGCTCTCAAGTGCACCCTCTCCTTTCATATTCCTACCATCCTGTCTTTTCCTTCTGATCTGCATAATAATTTCATAACCGGGTCTCGAACACCTGTCTTCTTCTCAGCCTAGTAAATTTTTCCTCAATACCACAAATAACCATCCTTCTGCTGCCCTGTACAAAATTCTCCAATTTACCCAAATAAGTCCTAGTTCCCTCTCTTAGGATGCAAAACTACACCATGGCCCCAGCCAACCTTTCAGCCAGATTCATTCCATAAACATTTATTGACCACTCCTTTGTCCCGGGCACTGGCTAGGTAGTAATTAAAGAGTGAGGTACAAAACAAATTGGATTGCTGTCCTCATGGAGTTTATATTTTCATAGGAGAAACAGATATTAAACAAATTAAAACAAACAAAAAAAAAGTATATTAGCATATAATTATAGTAACTACCCTGAAGAGATAATCACTCAGGGGCTCAAAGAAGCATACATAAGGATATTCATTGCAGCCTTGTTTATAATCGTGACAAATAAGAAACAACCTACAAGTTCATCAAGAGAAAAATGACCACATAAACTATGATATATCCAAATTTAAGAATATAGACAGCAGTTAGAAAGAATGAAATAGTGCTACATATGCCCATGTGCTAAATCACCAAGACATGATGGAGTAAATAAATAAATGAAGCCACAAAAGGTATGCCATTCTTTGGTTTAAACACACACAATAGTATATTCTCTAAAGGAAATGCATATATATATATATAACATATGTATGTGTACGTTTGTATATTATATATAATATATACACGTGTTTATACTACACAGGGATCAGAAATATATAGGCTGATCATTTCACATTGTGTACAAATATCGAATCATTATATTGTACAACTGAAGCTAAGAGGTTATATGCCAATCATGTCTCAATATAAGAAAGAAATGTACATGCAAATGCATGAATAAAAGCTGGTTAATTCTCAAATACGGGCAACGATCCAGGACCCTTTACTGGCAGCTAAATATTTTAATCTTTTAACACGTAAAACACACTCATATTTGACCCAGATAAGTAAAAATTAGCTGCCTATTAGCATACAATTCCAAACTACATTAAATACTCTGAGAAATTAAAAATGGAGAATAAAATACTTAGTATTTTCATACACTGCTTTTTTTTTCCCACATACTGCTTTTTAATGAACTATTCTCTACTTACCCTTCTCCTTGCTCTGTGCCCACTACCTGTCCCACCTTCATTTTGAATCTCCCCAAACCCACATGCCACACATGTCCAAAAATCAGTCTGTAGTCATCCTACCCATCCCCCATGGTCCTCTCCACATGCCACTATGCTCTTTGTTGGGTCACTCTCTTTGTTCAGTGCCTCCTTTATGACATTTGCTGGGTTATGCCCAGCCCCGGATGTTGTCTGAATGGACTACAGGCTCCTCAACGGGAAGGCCGGTTTCCTCCAAATCACAGCACCCAGGAAAGTGTCCCAATATTCAGCTGTTCAATTGAAGTAAATATGCTCCCTGCTTCTTCCATTCACTCATTCATTTACTGTCTCCCTCAACAAATAGTAAGACCAGCTGGGTACCAGGCGCTGTTTTAGGTGCTGGGAATAGAGCAGGAAAGCAAACCCACCAAAATGCCGATCCTCACGGAGTTGACACTTAATGTCGTAGTGAATTCAATGATCAGCGCTACGGGGCACCTGGCTGGCTCAGTCAGTGGAGCACGGGACTCTTGATTTTGGGGTTGTGCTTTCAAGTCCCACACTGGGTATAGAGATTACTTAAAAATAAAATCTCAGGGCTCCTGGGTGGCTCAGTCGGTTAAGCATCTGACTCTTGATTTCAGCTCAGGTCATGATCTCATGATCTGTGGGATCGAGCCCCACATCAGCCTTTGCACCAACAGTAGTACAGAGCCTGCTTGGGGTTCTCTCTCTCTCTCTCTCTCTCTCTCTCTCCTTCTCTCTGCACCCGCCTCCCTCAAAATAAATAAATAAACTTTAAAAGTTTTTTAGTAAAATCTTTAGAAAAGAATTAAAGGATTAAAGGATTCGTGTTATGGAGACAGGGGGCGGGGAAAGGGGCCAGAGAGTCGAGGGAGCCGGTGAGGGTAATGTTCAACAGGCTAGTCCTGGAAGACTTCTCAGGTGGAGACATTTGAGTAAAGATCAGAAGGGGTGACAGTGGGAGCCACGTAGAGGCTCTCTCTGGGGAGAGAGCACTCCCAGCCGAGGGATCAGCATGCAAAGACCTTGAAGCGTTATGCCCCGTGGTTCAAGGAACAGCAAGGAAGCCGGCGTGATGTTGTGGCTGGCATGGAGCACTAAGAGGACACAAGTCATAAAATGAGCGTGGAAGAGATCCACACCATTTGGGGCATTGTGAGGACAGGACGTTACTCTGGATGAACCTGAGCGCCAGTGAATAGTATGAACAGAGGAATAATGATCTGGCGGAGGTATTAAGAGTGTTAGTAAACAAACTGATAAACCAAGAGTCCTCCTTTGCTGCAATCACTCAGATATTTACGCGTGTCCATATTTTCAGTACAACAGCACAACAACAACAACAACAACGATAATGGTAACAGTAAGAAGAGGTAAGACAAAGTGTAACAAAAAGGGAAAAATAAAACAATTTATTGAGCCCCTGCTGTGTGCCAGCGTCTTAACTCCACACCTGATCTACCCGATCATAGTGTTTTCTCGTTCTCCTGATAACCTGTAGACTTAAATTCATCTGGCAGATGAGGAGACCGTAGCCATTCGAGGTTAACTCACTTTCTGCCTTACTAACTTCTTTAACTTGCTTGAGATTCTACAACAAGAATGAAGTAGAATTCTAGCCCGAACAAATTCCAAAGCCCATGCTGACTCATGCCATTCTGTTCTGTACTAAGCGGTTGACTTTGGCCTCAGGAGACTAGAGAATAATAATAGTGACCATTGATTAAGTACTTCTTATAGGCCAAGTACATTATTTGCACCGTTTCTGGGTACCCAGGCAGAATCGGTACCCTCATCACCCAGATTAGAAGCCACACCTCCGAGTGGTGAGACAGGTAGTGAGTTCTAGGGCTGAGCTCTTGAAACGGGTTTCCAGGTTCAAACCAAGACCCTGGGCTACCCAACTATTGCCTTTGCCGTCTCACTGGAGCTCCCTCCCCGCCTCCACCCCTGGCCTTTTACAGACCAGACGGAGGTAAGAGTAATCACTGACAGGTGTATTTGGAGGAATAAATAAGGCCTCACTACTAAAATGCTTTGGGGGGAATTTGGCACATAGCGAGCGTTCAATCAGGACAGGCTAGTGTCACAAAGACCAATGCCCACGGCCACACAGGAACTCGCCCGCACTCAGAACCAGGTCTGTTCTCAACCACTGCATGGCCCTGCCAGGGTACTTATTCTGGGCGGGAGAAGAGAACCAAGAGTGTTTCTATGCCGTGAGACAGACAGTCAGAGCTGGCCCCGAGTCTGTCCACTCCAGAACCTGAGCAGCTCTTGACCACCAGAACGACTCCTCAGTGTAGACAAAGCAAGTGGAAGTCTTTGAAGAAAGATACCTCAATCCGAGTGATCCTCGTGGAAGGTGGGAGATACCTACCTGCCTTTCAGGGTTCTTTGGACACCTTCTCCAAACTGGAGGTCAAGCGAGACCGGAGAGGCACCTAAAGAAGAGGGTCAGAGGTGAGTGGCTCCAGGGAAGCGTGCCAGGTGGCTGAGCCCCTGTCTCCCGACCACAGCTCTCCAGCCACACCCTCAAACAGGATGCTGGGGTTTGGGGAAAATACTGGAGAGGAGATTAAGGTTAGAGCCACGCCCCTGGTAGGTATAGAGTGACCAAGAAATCAGGAGTCTACCCTGAAGATTAGCCGTCTGCCTTGGTCCTCCGTACGGTGGACCCACAGCCAGCTACCCCACTATTTCACTCGCAGCCAATGGGCTTCTTCGGCTCAGCAGCTCCCAAAAACGAGCATGCAGATTTTCTCAGAAACCGGAACTGAATCAAACACGGTCCTCAGAGCCAGCGGAGACCCAAACCCTGGCTCCCAGCTCAGCTGCTGGGAAACCTCAGCCTCCTGACTCGACTTGCCTGCCTCACCTGTACAATGGGAAGAACATCGCCGCCCGCTGCACGGGGCCCGCTCTGGAAGGTCACAGGAGCTAATCACAACCAAACCTTAAAACGGTGCCTGGCACACGGCCATCAGCTCAGTAAACATCAGCCAAAATGACCTTAGTCATTATTGTCTCCGAACGTCTCCGTTCTAAAACAGCCCGTCCGCTTAACGAATCCCTTTGGCTTCTTTGACAACTTAAAAAAAAAAAAAAAAAAATTGTGGTTAGCACATTTTGTTGACGTATTTTTACAAATACCAAGACTGCCCGTCCTCTTAAAAATATTTTAAGAGATTATATTTTGTCCCCACTCGCTTTGAGGAACTGCTTCGGAGCCACTGAGTGGGCCAAAAACAGCAAGAAAGCAAAGGAGGATAATAAAACCTCTTTCCTGAACTTTTTCCAGAAAAACAAAAAACAAAAAAAAAAAAGAATTTCAAGATTCAGATTCTGGGCTTTTAAGGACCATCTTGCTAAGTATTTTCTTATCAAGTTCCTTCTTGTTTTCTCCCCTCCCCCCCCCCATAAACACGACAGTAATGAGATAGTTTCTTCTTTCTCCCTGCCTCCAAAAAAAAAAAAAAAAAAAATGTTCTCTGTCCCATAAATTTCTCCCAAACCCACGCAACCGAATTTTCTACAAGGATTTGTAAGAAACTGAGAATGCTCTGAACAGAAACGAACCGCTCCTGAAGCAGTTCTCATTTGAAGTCAACAAATAAGCACAACGTGTCCCCAAGGAAACAAAGTAGAATTTGGACGATAAAATGGCTCTGCCCCTAATCCCCGGTTCCCCCGTGCTGCAAGGCTGCACTGGCAGGAAACACATATGCCATCAGAAGTCTCTGCTAGTTTCCACCAGTATTTCTCCATCAGCCCGCTCAGCCGTACGGACCCAAGTAAGGCACCCAGCTTTAAAAGAAAAAAAAAAGAAAAAAAAATTGGTAAAGGCAAAGAAGAGCACGCTGACCTGATCATTTCTACCTTCCTCGGGGTGGGTAGACCGAGACCAGAAGAAATGCGGGCGCCCCTCCCCCGCCAGAACCGAGCTTCCCGTCTGGGTGGAAACTATCTCATTACCACATTTTCAACAAGTAGACCCGGTTTCCTCGTGTAATCAGAGTTAGTCTGTGGTTGTTTGGCAGTCTGTGCATGCCATGTTTTTAGAGCTATAGAGAAATGTGTATTTATTTATTTTGTGATGGCTGCGACCATATGACAAACAGAAGCCAGCCTTAGCCAGTGATTTATAAGAGCTCGGGGAAGCAGTGCCTTTAAGCATTTTAATAGAGGCGCTCTCATCCTTTGTAAGTGGAAGTGTAAATTGGTACAGTCCTTTTGTAAACAACTCCGCGAGGCAAGTCAAGGGCCTGACAAATGTTCGTACATTTGGGTGCAGCAAGAACATTCCTGGAATCAGTCCTAAGGAAATAGTCCTAATAGAGGACAAGGGGGCTGCGAACAAAGATGTTCACGGCAACGAGATTTACTAGAAGGGGAAAGAAAATACACACATACTCCCTCCCCGTATACGGGGAAACACGCGAATAAAGAAAGGGTTCGTCTTCCAAGTTATCCCCGCTCTTGCCCACGGCCATTTCAAAATTTAAAAGCTGCGAAAATATGCCACTGGGAAATAGTTATAATAGCAAGTGGAAAAATCAGGACGCAAGAATCACATTTTTAATAAAATAGAAGTCTTCTTATTAGTAAGCCAAAAAGGGAGATACAGGTATATGTAAAATTGTTTCAATTGGTTTTCTTATCAGGGACGTTTTAGTATGGACTGGGTATTATGTGATACCAGAAACTTACAGTTAATTCACTAACTGTGATAAAGACATAGTAGGTTATTTGAAAAAAATGCACATATTTTTTAGAGATATACACCGAAACATACAGGAGGAGAATGACGTGTTAGAATTTATAATACTTAAGCAAATTTTTAAAACAGGAGAATTGAAGCAATGTGCCTAAAATTGCAAAACGGGGTGAGGGCTATGGGGGGGGGATTCATTTTACTATCCTCTCTACCTTTACATGCATTGCAAAATTTTTATTAACAATTTTTAAGGAGGGGAGCTCAGTCTGTTGAGCATCTGACTTCAGCTCAGGTCATGATCTCACGGTTCGTGGGTTCGAGCCCTTCCTCAGGCTCTGTGCTGACAGCTCAGAGCCTGGAGTCTGCTTCGGATTCTGTGTGTCTCTGTCTCTCCTCCCCTCACACGCTGTCTCTCTCTCTCTCTCTCTCTCAAAATAAATATGTCAGCATTAAAAAAAAAATGTCTTTTAAAAAAAAATTTAAGGGGTTGTTTTTTGATAACAGAATATGTAGGACCTTTTTATCTTACCTCCAATTTTTCTGAAATGATTTTTCTATAAAAACAGGAAGAGTTGGTAGTCCCACAGAGACGTTTTTATTGCTGTGTAATAGTGGTGAATCCTCAGAATGCTGTGGTATGCCTGTGTACCTTCACTGAACTCATAAATGGCCCAAATCCTCTCTCTGGGGTAGCACCCTGCCATCTAAGACCATGCTGTAAATGTGATCGGCTGATAAAAAGCCCAGCTGCCACGGACCATTTTAAAGGTTAGGAACCATCTAAACACACACACACACACACACACACACACACACACACACACACACCACTTCTTGCCTCTTCAGTGCTAAGTGGGAACAGACTGGTTTTACTTCCAAAGTTGCATGCAATAATCATGTAAGCATCAAACAGCACAGAGTTCAACATGCCACCAAGCTGACTCAGAAGGAAGGTTCCACATTCCTTAATTAGCAGCATCAGAAAAGTAGCACTTCCTGCACTGGAGTTTCCCATTTCATCCAGCTACTCATGGGCTCAACCCACCCCACAGGTTCTCACAGAGGAGTGCCATGAAGTCTGGAAACAGAGACAGTGTTCTTTAATTTATCTTAATAATTCCCTTTGTTCCTGTTTATTCTGCTTTGTTTTACTCGTCACACTCTTCATCCTCTTGTATGCTGATTTTTGCAGATTGAAAGTGGCCGTGATAGCATCATGTATGTCCTTTGTCTCCAGACTTCACGGACACGCTGGAGATACTGAGATCACAGTTGGGAACAGAATACGTGAACACTTCACCGACTTGAAAATACAGTCCTCTTGGTTATTAATAGCCAAAAAGATTCAAAGTACTGGACCAGAAGCTTCTTTTTTAGTACCAATTACTTAAATTAAGTTTCTGATTTGTATTAAAGTTCTCTGGCACAACTCAGGCAGGACGCAAGTGCATGAGGAAGATTTCCAAACAAGATTACACGGTTTTCCAATGTGATATATTTGATCATCTTTGAAAAGGCAGGGGCAACACAATTGCAACCTTAATTGAAATGTCAAATTCTCATTGGATTTAACCACTGTAACAATTATTTACTGTGAACTTCAGAGGTTTTGGAGAAATGTACAATAACCCTAAGCAGGTGACTGACAGATTTGACAGATGCTTAAAAAAAATACTCTTTGGGAAAAAAAAAATACTGTTTGGAAAAAAAAAAAAAAACTCTTTGGAAAACATTATTTTTGCCCTTTGAGGGACCCTAAAAATCCATTCTATGATGCATTATTCCATATTCCCCTTGCAGTCTTCCCTTCCTCAATCTATGTCTTTTCAAAGAATTCTTCTCCTCTTTGACCACCAGGTTGATAGATTTATATTTGCTTTTTAATTAAGTACCTTAACTGTAAGAGAGTAGATAAGAAAAGCTCATAGTCTAACACCCCGGGAGAGAGCAAATGTTTGCCTCAGTGGCAAACCCACGTTCTCAGGGGTCTAAGAGCAAAGAAGTTCCACTTGGGGATTTTATTTCTTCTGAAAACATCTTCTGGTATTTGAGAACGTCTGATGCTATTTAGTGGGGCAGACCAACCCCTGATTAGATCTTTTAAGAACAAAAGCCTTTCCTTCTGACCCCAGAGAGTAATGAATTCGTTGTAACACTACATGGTAATTATGATGAAAAGTGTATTTTAAAATCAATGTACTTTATTTATTTTTTTATTTTTAAATTTTTTTTTTCAACGTTTATTTATTTTTGGGACAGAGAGAGACAGAGCATGAACGGGGGAGGGGCAGAGAGAGAGGGAGACACAGAATCCGAAACAGGCTCCACGCTCTGAGCCATCATACCAGAGCCTGACGCGGGGCTCGAACTCACGGACCGCGAGATCGTGACCTGGCTGAAGTCGGACGCTTAACCGACTGCGCCACCCAGGCGCCCCTAAAATCAATGTACTTTAAATAACAATTACGTCAAGTTGAATCCAGAACCAAATTAAATCGACTTTGGCCTTTTGGTGTTCTTGGGTCATGTAAGAGCTGGGTTTGACTTTATCCCTGACTCAGTTTCCCTACTCCCTCTTTATATCACAAGACACTGTAAGGGGCATAAAAAGTGCCCCATGACTATGATATTGTCTTCTTGGAGACCTAAAGATGTCATATATATTTTTTCTTGAAAATAAAGTTTATAGGGGCGTTTGGCTGGCTCAGTTGGAAAAACACATGACTCTTGATCTCAGGGTTGTGAGTCTGAGATACACCCGTATTGGGTGTAGAAATTACTTAAAAACAAAATCTTAAAAAAAAAAGAGAGAGAGAGAAAATAAAGTTTATACAAGCAATACATTGTAAGACCTGACCCTGAACCCAAGAAGCTGAGTCTTTTTTCAAAGAAGTTGAGATTGAAACACAATTGTTTTTATTAATATTTGGGGGATAGTCTTCACATGTAAGTGAGAATTTTGCTCATAAAAAATGATATCCGAATTCACTCTAAAAAGTGTTGTCTCCTTCCATTTCTGTACATTAGCCAATGATTTCTGCCCTCTTCTTCACTTTTCCAAATTATGAAAGATTTTTATGGCTTTCTTCATTTTCCAAGTATGCTACAAAACACTGTAAATATCAGAGAAACACTGGAATTTTAACACTGGAATCATTCAAAGTTTCTGCTTGGAATCCAGGGCACCCGCCATTGACAGCATAGTCTATTGTATTCTGTTTACATAGAATCCAGATGAATGGTACCCACCTGGAGCTGTTCAATGGGCTGAAAGTAATCTTAGCAAACGTGTAATGGTTTGGGTAAAGCCACTGCTACGTCATCATCTAGCTGGGGCCACTGCTGCTGCCACTGTCTGTTAGATAGGACCTTCAAACCCTGCTGGCCTTCTTGATATTTCTTTGCCTATCAGTGGATCATTAGTTGGAGCATTTCCTTAGTCATAGAGCCTGGCCTGGCCGTTCGTTGGGATGTTCTCAGTAGGAACTACGGTTGAAGATAACAGAATGGTTATTTAGATGTGAATGGGGGGGGGGGGGTCACCTCTTTCTTCTCAGGGGCTCAAGATTGTTTCGTTATTTTCTGATTCTTGAACTTTTAGTTCTTCTTAAGAACAGAGATCTGATTTTTTTTTTAAAGCTTTCCGATGACATTTGAATGTTTAAGTCTTCTGAAAATATTTACATTTTCCAAGCAGCTAGCAACACTCTCTGTCTTCTATAGTTCTTAAGATTAGGGAAAATAAGAGAAAGCTAGAGAGTTGGCAAGCAAGTGTATCATAACCTGGCAAAGAAATTCCTGAGCAAAACTATATGGGTTTGAGCTTATTGGAACATTCGAAAGCAATTAAAATGCTTCCCCCCTCCACCCCAAACTTATTTTTGTCCTTTTTTACTTTAAGCACACAGAGGCGTACAGCTGAAAAATAATACGACAAGCATGAATGAGTCGTCAGGCAGATCAAGCCAAGAAGCTACTGTCAGGGGTCTTTATGGAATATATTGGATGGAATGTCTATCATCCACGCTTCGGCTTATTGGAGGGGTCAAGACCAGCCCTTTAAGAAAAACTGATCAGCTTCCCAATATTCAAATTCCTACTTATTGACCTGCCACAGAATATCCTGCCTTGTGTCAAAAATACCGTCTTCCAAACTGTGGGGATAGACACTAAAAAGAGGCCTATGATTCAACTATATATAAAGTGTGTGTTGAGCACATGTAAACAGAAGATAGTAGAAGCCGCGGGAGATGAATCAGAATTATTCAAGATAACTCCACAATGAGCTCAAAGAATATCATTAGGCCTACGGACCTGCCTTATTTTAAATACAAGCGCTCTCAAACTTGACAATACCTCTTAGGAAAAATTACAGGGTGTATACTCCAGTATGCAGTCGACAAGTCCGTAAAAATGCCACTTTATTTTTATGATTGGAAGCCTTACTGTTCATGGTAGAAAATTTGAAAACCGCAGAAAATACCCCGAAAGCTAACACCGAACACTCAGAAACAGCCACGGT